AAAAAACATACCAAAGCATAAAGTTTGGGAATTAAGAATGTAAAACTTCTTTACTGCAAACAATGCCTGAACAAGGATAAAGTCAACAAACCAGGTGGAAATAATTGTAATATATTGTATAAACAGTTTATATACCTAATATACAGAGAGTTCTAATAACCTGTAAGAAAAAGACAAACACCTTAATAGAAAAATAGACAAAGAGCAATTCACAAAAGAAGCTGTACAGATGGCCAATTAGCATATTAAAAGATGTTCAGTTTAACTTGTAATCAAAGAAATGCAAATTAAAACACGGTTGTTTTTCACCTCACTGCGGAGGACAAGTATTGATAATATCTAAGGTTGCTGAGAGTATGGAGAAACAGACATCTTCATTCTGTATGTTGGGTATAAATTGGTACTACCTCTCTGGAGGATATTTGTCAGTATGTATTTTAAATGTGATTATTTTTTGACCCAGAAACTCCATTTAGACCAGTATGACATAGATTTTATTGTACATATGAATCACCTGAGGGTCTTGTTAAACTACTGATTCTGACTAAGTAGGTCCAAGGTGGGGCCCAAGCTCCTGCAGGTCTAACAAAGCTCCCAGGTGGTTCTGATGACGCTGGTCCATGGACCACACTTTGAGTAGAGAGGATTTAGAGAACTTTATACCCTGGTTGCACATTAGAACCATCTGAGGCATTTTAAAAAAATACCGATGCTCAAGCCTTACCCCCAAATTATTTGATTCATTTTGTCTGAGGTGGAGGCATGGGCTTTGAAAGATCTCCAGGTGATTCTAATATGCAGCCAGGATTTAGAGCTATTATCCTGAGGAGAAAATTGAACTATACACAAATATATATTTATAGAAATGTATGTTTATTGCAACATTGTTTATAATATTGAAAAATTAGAAACAACCCAAATGAGGTGGGCTACTCAGTAGGCTGAGGCAGGAGAATCACTTGAGCTCAGAAGCTTTGAGGCTTTAGTGTGCTGTGCTCAGGCCTGTGAGTAGACACTGCACTCCAGCCTGGGCACCATAGCAAGAAAAAAAAGAAACAACCTAACGTCCAGCAGTAAAGGACTCATTTAAAACATTCTGGAACAACCGTAAGTAGGTTAATTAGAAATTACATAATAGATATAGACTTATTGACAGAAAGGTATTCATAACATGTTATGGAATAATGCTAGTACTAGGATGCTGGGAAGTTTATAATAGGACTATGTAAATTTATAAATAAATGTCTATGTACTGTAAATGCATAGAAAGATATGTGGAAAGATGCTTATTAAAATAGTAAAGGGGTCCTCTTAGGTGATTTCAACTTTTTATAATTATTTATAAAGCTGTCTAATTTTTAAAACTATTTATTTATTTATTTGATAGAGATGGGGGCTCACCATGTTGCCCAGGCTGGTCTCGAACTCTTGAGATAAAGTGATCCGCCCACCTCAGCCTCCCAAAGTGTTGGGGTTACAGGCTGGGCCACCGCACCTAGCCAAAGCTGTTTTCATTTTGGGGAATAGAAAGGGTTTAGAAATACTTAAAACTGGCTGGGCACTGTGGCTCACACCTGTAATCCCAGCACTTTAGGAGGCCAAGGTGGGTGGATTATCTGAGGTCACGAGTTTGACACGAGCCTGACTAACATGGTGAAACTCCATCTCTACTAAAATACAAGAAAATTAGCTAGGCGTGGTGGTACGCACCTGTAATCCCAGCTACTTGGGAGGCTGAGGCAGGAGAATCGCTTGAACCCAGGAGGCAGAGGTTGCAGTGAGCCTAGATCCGAAATCCGTGCCACTGCATCCCAGCTCTGGGCGACACAGAAGTGAGACTCTATCCTCAAAAAAAAAAAAAAAAAGGAAAAAGAAATCTTATAACTTAGGCCAGTGCAGTGGTTTACACCTGTAATCCCAGCACTTTGGAGGCCGAGGTGGGTGGATCACTTGAGGTTAAGATTGAGACTAGCTGGCCAACATGGCGAAATCCCATTCCTCTACTAAAATAACCAAAAATTAGCCAGGCCAGGGTGGGTGTGTGCTGTAATCCCAGCCAGCTACCTGGGAGGCTAAGCATGAAAATTGCCTTGACCCAAGGGAGGTGAGGCTGCAGTGACCAGAGGTCGTGTCACTGCACATACCTCGGGCAACAAGAGCCAAGATTCTGTTAAACAAAAAATAAATATCTATAAAACGTAAATCAACGGGAGGCAGGACTAAATATCACAATTAATAGCTAAACCCCAATCAATTCTTATTTAGCTCTCATTTGAAGAAAACTGTTAACAGAAGAGAATGGTCAGGTAGGCATAGAAAATTAAGCTGGGGGCCGGATTGACAGGATACAGGCCTCATCCTGTAATCCCAACCACTTTGGGGCAGGCCAAGGCGGCCAGATCGCCTGCAAGTCGGGAGTTTGCAGACCAGCCTGACCAACATAGAAAACCTCCGTCCTCTACTAACAAATTACAAAAATTTAACCAGGTGTGGTGGCACTGCCCTGTAATGCCCATGCTAACCTTGGGAGGCTGCAGGGCTGGAAATCACTTGACCATTGAGGGAGAGGTTGCAGTGAGCCACAGATCGCCGCCCATTGTGCACTCCAGCCTGGACAACACCCTAGGCGCGAGTTTATTTGAAACTCCATCCCAAATAAGAACAAACAAAAAGAAGACAATAAGGAAATAAAAAAAGAAAAAGAAAAAATGAGCTGACCATCCCCTATAAATACTCAAATGACCCTTCAGAGGTTTCATAATAGAATATTCAATATGGCAGAGGGTTCATGTTAAAAAGAGAGCGAGCGAAAGAAGCAATGTGAAGAGAGAGAAGTTGACAGAGTCTCCTCAAAATGGTCCATCCAATTGGGAAAGTCACTCTTCAAGAGAGGCAACCGGAAGTCCACGCTCGATTTGGAACAGGTGACACGAAATTCCATCGAGAAGGCATTAACATTTATTACGTGACCACCCATGCACCAGCAGTGGATTTTCCAAGGTGAAGAAACAAGGTCCCCTGAATCAGGTAATTTCTCCACTAGGTACATACCAGTCATTTATGCATGAAACCAATGACTAACTCCAAATTCTTCTTTCTCTTTCTTTCCTTACTTCTTCCTTTCCTTCCTTCTTCTTCCCTTCACTTTCCTTCTTCCTTTTTTTCTTTTTCTTTCTTTCTCTCTCTTTCTTTTTCTTTCTCTTTCTTTTCCTTCTTTCTCTTTCTTATTCTTCTTTCTTTCCTTCCTTTTTTTTTTTTTTGAGATGGGAGTCTTCCTCTGTTGCCCAGGCTGGAGTGGCAGTGGCAACAATCTCAGCTCACTGCAGCCTCCATCTCCCAGGTTCCCAGCCCGATTCTCCCTGCCTTAAACAAAGCCTCGGGGGTAGCGGGGTTTACAGGCCCCTACCACCACGCTGGGCTAATTATTTGTATTTTTTAGTAGAGTCGGGTTTCACCCATGTTGGGCCAGGCTGGTCCCTCCAACTCCTGACCC